CTGTACTCTCTGGGGACGGTCCTCCAAGAAGGAACGGAGCCAGGCAAATGCCCGGCCGCCTATTCCCAACTCGGTGAGCCTCCCCAGGAGGATACCGTGGTCAATGGTATCGAAGGCCGCTGAGATGTCGAGGAGGACCAGCAGAGACGTTTTGCCCCTGTCGGCCTCCCTCAATAGGTTATCGCACAGGGCGACCAATGCCGTTTCTGTACCATGGCGCGGCCTGAATCCCGACTGGAATGGATCCAGGACATCTGTTTCATCCAGGAACGCCTGAAGCTGATCGGCCACCACCCTCTCAACTACCTTGCTTAAGAAAGAAACATTGGCGACGGGCCTATAATTGCCAATTTCGTCCGCTGCCAGGTTGTAAATCAAGTTTCTCAATTAATGTACCTCACACAGGCTTTTCCCTCACTGACTAACTCTCACAGATCTATCTCACTCTCTCAAACAATTTCTCTCATCTCTCTAAACTCTCCCTCACACATCAAACACACCCCTTATATAATCCAGCTGCTCCCCCTTCTGCACCACCCTCCGTCCTCTCATTGGCTGATGTTCCCCTGCCCAACTGTGACAGACAGGTGAGAGCAGAGCTGTATGTTACAGTGATGCTTGTTGCTTTTCAATGGTAAGTCTCTACAAATTACTGTAAGACAAAGCCAAGCCCTTCCTGCTTCCTCTTTCAAAGTACATACTTTCAGACACAAGAAGTGTCAATAAAAAGAGGATTATTGGAGGTGTGCAAGGCCACTGTGACAATTATATACTATAATTATTTTTTTTGGAAGGAAAAACAATCATAGGATTAAAGCAAGTCTTTAAGGATGGTGACTTAAATTAAATCCAACCTGCACTGTGCTGTTTTGTTTCATTTTGTCTTGTCCCAAAACATTATACTGGTTGGGGTAAAAAGTTGCAATAAATAGGTAAAAAGAAAGCAATAGATCTGTGGAGGCTTTTTTGAGGGGGAGTCACTTTCTGATTGTTAACCACTGCCCATCTGCACCCAACTGGTGCCCGAATTTTAGAGATTACAACTGTTCAGGTGGCAATGCCTGTAGTTCTAGTTCTGCAACAAAATGTGCCTTTGCAGGACTAAAGTACCCCATTCTGCTGTGTTCAGGTTAAACATACATTACTGACCTAATCTGTACTTCCTTGGCTAGGCCAAAAACCACTAACAGTTATTCTTTACACTTCTCCAAATGTTATGATAATAATTATCAGCTCAAAAAGCATCAAAATACTGGGGGAATTCTGGGAGTATATTTCAGCCACTGATATATAAATATCAGTGGCTGAAATATATTAAAAAACAAATATAGTACAGTATAATGAAATGCATTCAAAATGCTTATTTGTTTAAAAATAATGCAATTTCCATTAGGGTTTCTTTGGGGGAAAATCGGTATACGAATGAATAAGAACAAGCTGGCCACGAGTCAGAAAAAGAATGAGAGATTCACTGGTCACTCAGATCCCTCTGCGTCAGTCTGGAAATCTTTATCAGGGCTTCTGCCCCAGAATAGAGCCTGTCCTGCTGACACAGATCTATCAATCAGATCACCTCAGTTTAAAAATCAAAGGAGGGCAATTCAATTCATCCTTTTAAACCAGAGAACAGCAACTGGGTTAACTGCTAACGTAACAACACTGTCAGCAGAGTTTCAACTACTGCTGTTACTCGCAGGAAACAAATGAATAATTTATTCCTAACGTTGCTCTATGTTTGAGACCTCACTTTTCCTGAGCTCTTTCACTGGATACAGATTTGGTTGATCACAGCTCCAGAACAGATTAAATTGCAGCTGTTATTCAGCCATGATCAGTATTGTGTGTCAAGTACAGTAGTTGTGTTCCCTGATGGATGAGCAACTGCTCTTCTACTAAAATGGTTTATGCCAGCTATTCTCAACTTTTTTGGAGGGGGCATGCCATAATCAAAATATGAAAGAAATATAGGCCAAATCAGGACTGCACAAGTCACATAATTAACCTTATAAGGTGGTGTGAATAGGTCAATTTTAAAACTGGCCATTTCGGTGTCGAAAGTGAGAAACCCAGTAAAAGGTCTGTTTCTGTCTCTGTGCCTGCAAATGTGAAAGCCATCCATGACATGATCACGGAGGACCGCAAAATATCAGCCAAAAGTATTGCTATATATCTGAGAATATAACGTGAGAGAGTTAGTGCCATTATCCACAATGACTTGGAAATGAGAGAGTTGGCAGCAAAGTGGATCCCCAAACTTTTCACAACCAAACAAAAGAGGAAACGTGTGGAGTCACTGGTGGCTGCTTTGGAACATTTTGCAAGAAATGAGTCAGATTTCCTTGGCAAAGTGGTAACTGGTGATGAGACATGGATTTACTGTTATGATCCTGAGACAAAGGAACAGTCTAAGGAATGGAGGCCAAAGAAGTTCCGAGTGCAAAGGTTGGTGCAGAAGCAAAGGGCAAGTTTTTTGGGGATAAGAAGGGAGTTCTGCTGGTGGACTACCTCCAACAGGGTTCAACCATCAATGAAAAATATTACTGAGCTTTATTGATGAAGTTGAGGCAAAACATCAAGGAAAAACATCGAGGAAAGCTCTCCAAAGGTGTCATCCTGTTGCATGACAATGCCTCGTCACACACTGCAGGC